TGACTTTCAGAAAGATTTCGTGATAAGCTGTTCTACTCACATTTTAGGTGTCGGTTGGAATCCTAACGAAGATTTTATAAATTTTCCCACTAACTATAATATTCAAAATGTAAATCCAACTAAAAGATCAATCCTTTCCGATTCATGTAAGGTGTTCGACCTTCTAGGTCTTCTTAGTCCACTCACTATAGAACCTAAAATTCTAATTCAAAGATTATGGTTATCCAAAGTTAACTGGGATGACTCAGTGCCTGATACTATGAAACAGGAGTGGCTCTACTTCATACAAAAATTACCTAGCTTACTTACCTTGGGTGATCTTACTACGTCTGTGGAGCTCCTTTGTTTTTACGACGCATCGCAGACCGCATATGCCGCGTGCATCTATATTAAATCTACGAACGATGACGGCGATGTCAAGGTACAGTTGCTATGCGCTAAGGCCCGAGTCGCGCCTACTAAACCCAACACTATACCGCGCTTGGAGCTCCGCGCCGCCCTTCTGGGTGCTCAGCTCGCATCCGCCGTCACTAATGCTATGCGTGTGCCTATATCTTGACACTATTACTGGACGGACTCATTCATAGTCCTCGCCTGGCTTCGCACCGAGCCTAGCAAATTACAAACTTTTGTAGCCAACAGAGTCGGTGCCATCAGTTCCTTATGTGGCTTGAGTTCGTGGCGTCATGTGAGTGGCGTTTTGAATCCCGCCGACCTGCCCTCGCGCGGAGTATGTGCCGACCGCCTGCAGCACCTGTCCCTGTGGTGGCGCGGCCCAGACTTCCTCATGCTGCCGACCTGTGATTGGCCAACATTCCGCACAGATCCGTGCGACGATATTCCCGAAGTGAAAGTCAATGTTACTACTTTAAACCATGATAGACAAGATTTAATAGATTTCGATTCATACTCATCTCTTACTAAACTACAACGCATTTTCGCTTCTGTCTTACGTTTCATAACCTGTTGTAAAAATAGAATTAAACTTACCGATGTGCTGCAGCCCGAGGAACTTACTCGATCATTCGAAAAACTAGCATATCTCTCTCAGCGTGAATCTTTTCCTGACGAATTAAAATTATTACAAAATAATAAGCCGTTACACTATAAAAAATAGTATTTTACCTTTAAGTCCGTTTCTACGCGATGGATTAATATGTGTGGGGGGGGGGGGCGCCTCGATGAATCCTCCTACTCGTTCGAAAAACGACATCCTATCTTAGTCCACGGCAAGCATCGCGTCACTCGGCTGTTGTTCGAGCGTGAGCATCTGCACCTGCTTCATGCCGCCCCGCCGCTGCTGCTGTCGCCTGTACGTCGCACTGTGTGGCCCGTCGCTGGCAGAGATGTCGCTCGTTCTGTCTATCATCAGTGTGTCAGATGCCGTAGATTTGCTGCTAAACCAGTAACCCCTAAAATGGGAAACTTACCTTCCATTCGCGTAGACGGTGGATTTCCTTTTATTAGTACTGGTGTAGACTTTGCGGGACCATTTTCTATAGTTAATCGTAAAGGTAGAGGCTGTAAAATCGTAACTAAATGCTATTTATGTTTATTTATTTGTATGAAATATAAATGCCTTCATTTAGAAGCGGTGAGTGATCTCAGCAAAGATGCGTTTGTACTAGCTTTACGTCGGTTTATATCTCGCAGAGGAAAGCCGTCAAATATCTGTTGTGACAACGGCACTAATTTTGTGGCAGCCTCAAAAGAACTAGGCATCACGAATTCGCGTTCCATTTCCGATTTTGCTTCAAACGAAGGCATAAAATTTCATTTCTCCCCGGCTTATGCGCCGCACATTGGCAGTCTATGGGAGGCGGGCGTAAAATCCGCTAAATTTCATATTAAACGAACCCTTGGTTCTACACATTTAACTTTTGAAGAGCTGGCAACTTTATTTAGTCAAGTTGAATCTATCCTGAACAGTCGCCCTCTATATCCTACGTCGTCCTCTCCTAATGATTTCCATCCACTCACTCCCGGTCATTTCCTCATCGGACGTGCTCTAGATACGATACCATCACCTAATCATACATCAACGAGTTTCAACCGGCTTAACAGATTTAAACAACTAGAAAAATACCGTCAGCATTTTTGGAATAAATGGAAGCTGGATTATTGCAACAGCTACATAAATGGCGAGTACCAGCTCGAGAATTACGGATTGGAGAATTGGTTTTACTCAAAGATGACAACGCTCCTCCACTACAGTGGAAACTCGGACGTATCATACAGTTTTACCCCCGGACCAGATGGAATAAACCGTGTGGCAGACGTTCTGACGTCCATCGGATTCCTCAAACGTGGTATTAAATACCTGTGTCCTCTACTGAATCCCCAATACGAAGACTGAAAGCTGAAGCTTCCAGGGGGGCGGGGTAGTCCGTGGAGTTTTTATATGTTTTGTTTTTATTTTACATTTTTAAATAATTGTAAAGAATAAAAAAGACAGATGTCACAAATATTGGAGAAACAAGAGAATGTTTTTCTGTAAATGTATATACAGCGTTTTTCCCGTATCACTTCATTTAATTTGATTATCCAAGTACGATATTATAATTTATATATTATGAAGACAAAGATTTTTATTTAAAAACTGCATCCTAACTACCACGCGTTCTGCGCGTGAACAGCAGCTATATTATAGTTATAGCACGATGGATCGGTTAAAAATTTAAAATCTACTGCTGAACATAGGCCTCCCCCTAAGGTTGCCATAGTTGCCACGCTTGGTGAGTGAGTTGGCAACCACACTTTATGTTTATTATTTTGAGTTGTTATCAGGAACATGTTACTACTCATCTCCAGTTTAGTTTCCCTCTGTCGTCTCTTACGACGCCCAAGGGACGATGTGGGGTAGTCGATGTTCTTACACAGCCAATAGACGGTAGGGAATAGCAGCTTAATGCTGCTGTTTTATATGGTAAGCGTAGAGAACCGGAGACCCTTTTTACTGGACGAGGCATTCTATTATAGCCCTCAGGGGTAACAACGCGTCTGCATTTTTAAAAAATTTTAATTCTTTATATAGGATAGATGTAGATGTCTATGGACGACAACACTCCCTTGCCATCAGGTGGACTGTGAGCTCATTTTTCACTTCTGTTCTATAAAAAAAAATGAATGTAAACATCGTTTAGGAAGACTTTACACGTTCTAGAAGTATTTATTCTGTGACATGCAGATTTCCTTGCGATGTTTTCCTTAACAACCGAGCACGTCGTGAATCTGCACTTAAAATTAACAATTTCCTTTGTTTTTTAATAGAATAAGGGTAACAAACGTTCACACAGTTCACCTACGGTGGCCCATAGACATCTACATCTATCCTCGATTACTAATCAAAATGGAGATGCGTTGTCATCCGTGAGTACTAAGATGGAATGCCCCGTTTCCAGTAAGAGAGGTCTCCGGTTCTTTCACTCACCATACGAAACACAGCAGCGTTAAACTCACAAAAATCTAGACAATAAGGCACTAGAAATACCTTCTACTGTCCTTTAATATCAGGACGCGTGTCAGCTCTCACACATAGACAAACAATAAATACACAATTACGCCTACACATGTCTCTAGCATTAAATTATGTAACAAAGATTAAACTATAAACTATTTCGTTAAGGAATATTTTATAAAAACGCAAAATCTCAGGAGGCGTAGCCACTCGGTCCAATAATTAACGTGTGCGAAAAACAGAGAATGACATTGCGCGCTCACTCTCACTTGGGCAAAGTGCAGCGCAACGCACGTTTTGATGACTTTCTATTAAGTGTCGTTGATCATCCTGGAGTCTCACACCAAGATTGTCTTAGCTTTAGCTTTTAGACGTTTTATAATATAATACAACGTTAAGGATAAGTATATCCATTTATCTTTAATATCCGGATCTTTTGGAAACCAGGAATAATAGCATTTTATTAAATAAACAGATGTATAAATAAAATGAATATTATATTATACAAACAGCGAATAAATAAATTATATATGTATGGGTGACATATTTATCATTTTTTATTAGTTTTAAAGATCTGTAGCTGACTTTCCGTTTGTTATTTTTATGATACCCGGCTTCTTACAGATTGAATTTAGTCTACTATCCTTACAATATAATTACTTATCTTTACAATATATTAAAATTGTATAAAAATTTATCATGTAATTTAAAAGTACAAACAAACAGATAATCGCTGATAAACGGCTAACCGCATAAAATATTTAAAAATAAAAAAAATAGAGAAGGTATAAATAAATACTTAACGAAAAATCACATTTCATTCCCTTTTCAGTAAAACTAGGTAAGCCAAACGTAATAAATTTTCGATATAAAATAGAAGTGTCACGTAACTGACTCTCGTTCGACTCCTGCGGCCGTGTTCTAGGAAAAATACGTACGCAACAATTTTGTTTATTGCCCATACTATAAACCCATCGCTGCTTTTAGCCGTCGTACTCGTAGACATGAACTAGCTTATGAATCAATGGATTTTGTAATGTGAAAACAATTACATTTTCGGAGTCAATCGTAGTACTGGAGGTGAATAATTTTATTTAAGTATATTTCATTAAAAACAACATTATTTAAAACACTAAGTACTTATTTATGAAATGTTATCCCTTTATTAGAAAATTTGCGAGTTGTGGAAGAATTTTTGCAGCTGGATATGCTTCAAAACATCATTTTTACGTCTCTGCGTCCGAAACAAAACTGGTGACCGGAACAAACGCTCCTCGCGCGCTTGTGGCCTACGAGTCACATGTGCGGCGACAAGGTCACGCGCTTTTACGACTTCTATTGCCTTATTATTTAGATTTCTGTGATTAAACTACTATTTTACGCTGGTATTCTGTGAGAGCGTGGTCCTTCCCCGGTCGAGCCGATCCTTTTGCGCTCAACTATACAACTAATATAGCTGCAGCATGGATCTACCACGTGTAAAATCGTACCGGGATGGATCAAACCTGGGAAAGTCGTGTAATTAAAACTATAATATAGGTACCCATCAATGCTGGCATCAGTTCGTAGTACACGATATGCTGGTAGTAAGCAATGTTGATGTCCCTCGCGACAGTAAACAGTGTTTGATCATCCCAGCAGGGGTTAATCTGCTGCAGAATCCTCGCCAGATAGTTGTGGTTCCTGTACTGCCATATCCCGAGAAGCTGTATCCCAACGAGACTGTTGATACTAAAGTGTCCTGCGATATTAAAAAAAAATTATGTGACAGTCTACAATGAAATTATGCGCTGGGTCCGGACTTTGACTAAGTTATGAAATACTTGTTGACAATAATAAAATTATATAAATAATGTGTTTTTAAGCTATTGCATAGCTTCTATCGCGGGCCTTGAGCGCGGGGACCGAATCCAGAAATTCCGTAACGAAAAAAAACCTCACGCTCCCCACTCCGACGGGCACGGAGGTGTGGCGTTTAAAGCCGTGCATCGGCTAACTTCGTTTTAGTACTCGGCAGACTTCGGCACGGTGTTTGTGTGCGTGGTGCGTACACTAGCTGCTAACTCAATGATAAAAATTCCTGAATAACCTACTTGTATTATAAGATATTAAAAATATTTTAAACAATATTAACTTCTCATTTATTCAATAAGAGAAAAAAAAAATTGTTTTCTTATCGACATTGAAGTAATATGTACGTACGTACTAGAACAGCTATCTCAAAAAAAATGTGTGCTACTCTGTGTTCGCGCGGTTGGTTTTTTATCATAGAATAAACATAGGTAGAATGACCCGTAGGTAATAGTAGATTATATTGTTAAATAGGTAAATTATATCGAGAACAATATTTAAATTTTGTCATTTATTTTGTATATTATATTTGCTTATTTAATATAATATTACAAAATATTATATCACAATTACATTTTAATGATATTTTTATCTGAATATTTTAAAAGGTATCTATGTCAAATATAAAAAAACATACTAAATGTACGTTTAACAAAACTTATTAACATAACATTTAAATTACAAATATATTTATTTAAATTAAAATAAGAGTCGTTCATAAATGCTGGGCACGCGAGAGTTAAAAATGCATGAATTTATTCCACTTTGACTTTGATGTGGAAACCTAAAAATAAAATAAAAGAATAATAAGCAGATTTCAACATAAAAAATTTTGCCAAATTATAATAACTTATATAATATATTTCTACAAAAAAATGTGTATATTTAGTCCTATACTTAAGTACCCACAGAAATGTCACGTCTGAACATATTAATTTCATAATCTATATATCATGACACGAGATGGTCTTAGGAATTATTTGTTTTATTATTAATCTATAATACTTTTTATTGATTAAGTATCTTATTAACTGACGAAAAGTAATTACTTGGTTTTTACTGGCATTTGTTGAATTATTTGTGCAATATCTAAGTACACATGACGGCATATTTTTATCAAGAGATTTTTTTTTAAATCAACACAACACGTGACAACTCTACAGCGCCTAGCGAGTGACTTGTTAAAGTGCGGTGTATGCACTGCAGTTGAGTGGAACATAGTAGCTGAATGCAATGTCGCCTCTAGTACCTAGTACGTAATAGCTCAATGCTTATCGGTCACCACGCTCAAAAAGTGTAACTTGATTTAATATCAAAGACTTAACTGCATAAATAAAATAAATAAATAATTATAATTGCATAAGTTGATAAAAAATGCTATGCAATAGCTTTACCGCGGCAGTCACCGAGTGCCACACGTATTTTTTTTTAAATAGAAACTGTTTATTCACTAAAGATTATAAATATTAGTTATTGAAAGTAACTATTATGTTTAATTTGCCAATAGTTCCGAAAATAATTTTGTCCTTGAAAGAACCAGCAAAAAATCCAACGGGATATTTCTTTAAACATAACAATAGCTCACAATCATTTAATATGTTACGACATAATCAACTCATTCTCAGGGGCCATTATTATAATAGAGATCACAATAGAGAGAATCTTTGTATAAGTAAAGTTTTCAAACTTGACGGAGTTAGATGTATATTTTTTGGGATTTTGTTGAATTTTAATCTATTCTGTCTGCCTATTTCATAGAAATATAAAAACAAACATTTGTAAAAACACATTTTTTATCTATGGTCTATTCGGTTTAAATTTCGACCGAAAAAACAATTTTATACTACTTAACTTCGTTAAGTGCTAGAGTCTTGAAATCGTAAGTATGATTTAGAACTGGACGACAATGCAATATAAACTGACTTTCTTGTCTGTCTGTTTGTTTGTCTGTTCCGTACAAATTTTGCAAACGATTTTAAACGACTTCCCTACGAGCTAGAGAATTTAAACTTTAAGTATAGCTCAGAGCTGTATGACAATGAAATATAAACTCCCATTCTTGTTCGTCAGTTTGTTTGTTTGTTCAGTACAAATATATTTACTTTTGATAGGCTGTAATTAAACAATAAAAGAATGTGAAAGGTAAGACGTATTACAAAGTGATGATCCTCTTTAGAACGAGAGACGTCATTTTAAGCTGTGAACTTTTGTAGGCTAGTCAAGAGTAAAAATAAATACTTCCAGACTAGACTGTCATACTGTAAGGAAAAAGCAAAATAAGTCAAAAAACACTAAACTAGATTTGTAGAAAGAGATTGCCTACCAGAATCATGGCATCGAGTTTCTCGTGGCGGCTGGTTGAGGAAACAGACTGGGTTGCCATTTGGCGGCCACTCCTTGCCTTTAATGACATCAGCTCGTAAGAGGCCACCTCTCATCTGACGGGACCTGTTGACGCTGAGCTGATCGTTTCCATACAGACTCGATAGATCCAACAACGGTGGCGAGGTATTGATCTGCAATTAAAATGTTGTGACAACCAGTTGCGTACTGCATCACGTTGCACAAAAGCACGTAGAATGAATGAATGAGGAAAGAGTAACAAAGCAGATTTACTCTGTAGTCTTTCAATCGAATTTCGATCACGATGCCCAGTCTCAACGAAGACAAGCCATCTGCGTCAAACAGAGTTATTGTGGCCGAGTGTATGCGCAAACACGAAGAAACACGAAGAGAGTGCACTCTCTCTTAGTCCGATGGAATGATAAACTGACACGACCGCAGAGAGATCAGGCGCAGGACCAACGGCTTTACGTGCTGTTCGAGGGCTAAACACCGCCAATTTCCTGATTCCGGTTTGCTACTGAGAATTACTTGACAGAAAAACTCTGAAGCTGATTTTGGCCCGACCCGGGATTCGAACCTAGGAACTCATTATCAGAAACCAATAGACCATTAAACTGATGCTATATCGGTGAGTGGCAGAACTAAGTTGGCCAAATTAAGAGTACTCTTATCTGCATTTACTTTTCTTACAAGCATAGTGTGTATTTTTTAATAGACTAAATGTGAGTGAATGCTGTGACCCATAGAGATCTATATTTATCCTCGATTAAGAGTCAAAATGCAGATTCAGGAGTGACCTACATGGTCACTCCTGAATCTGCATTTTGACTCTTAAGAAGACTAAAATGGAATGTTCCGTTTGCAGTAAAATTGACTGGTTCTCTACACTCACTATACGGATGTTCCGTCGGCATCAGCATAAAGCTGCTATCTAGATTGCGCCAAATGGAAGTCTGCAGTCTCTGCCTACCCCTCTGGGTGACAGGCGTGAGAGTTTATACGTTATATATTGTAGTACTGAACTTAATTTATTTGTCAGGTAAAGAAAAGGAAAAGAAAAAGGTTATGATATAGTTTTTTGCTTACTCTTTCCGGTGGAAGGGAATTCGGGGCGCATCCAAGTGCCTGATAGGTGATGGCCCTTGTCAAGTTCAGACAGCGCACGTTGCTCCTTCTCAAATGAAGGTCATCAGTAGGCACTTCGATTGGCATGCACATCGGGTTGAGTTCTCCACCAGGAGCACAGCAGGTCCTTGTGAACAACACGTAGTTGATAGTGTCGTGGACTGTTGTGGTATCAGCTGTCATTATCAGAGGTAGATATGTGATGAGCTGGGTGAAACGTTTATTGTGGACTCGTCCGTCGGACATGAGGGCGACCCTCAGGGTCCGCGCGTTTGGAAGCTGTTGCCCTGTAGTGGAAGTGCGAAGCCCTCCATCCATAGCATGGTTCGAGGGAAGCATGCGGTGGTAGGGAGTCATGCTTGCGCCACGGGTTGGATGCCTCAGGTTGTTGCAGGAGCCATCCACGCGTCGGGTTTCGTAAGGAGAGCATTCCGGGATGTCGATGGTGCACCATCTGCGAAATTTATTTATTTAATTGTTTATATACGTGGTAGAGCCATGCTGCAGTTATATTAGATGTATAGTTGTAGCACGAATGGGTCGGCTCGACCGGGGAAGGACTACGCTCTCACAGAATACCAGCGTGAAATAGTAGCTTAATGCTGCTGTATTTCGTATGGTGAGTGTAGAGAACCGGCGACCCATTTTACTGGAAACGAGGCATTCCATCTTAGTCCTCACGGGTGACAACACATCTGCATTTTGATTCGTAATCGAGGATAGATGTAGATGTCTATGGGCCACAGCAACCACTTACCATCAGGTGGACTGTGTGCTCGATTGTCACCCTATCCTATAAAAAAAATACAGTCTTTAATCACTATCATCATCACAACCCTTCATACGTCCACTGCTGAACATAGGCCTCCCTCAAGGAATGTCAAAAGGCACGGTTCTGAGTCACCTGCATCCATCGACTTCCTGCATATCATTTTCTTTCGATGTCGATTCTTTGAGCTATATGGCCGGCTCATTGCCACTTCTACTTAGCAATCCGTATTTTATTCATTTAAATATTTATTCATTATAAATAATAAAATAAACATGACAAAAACGAGTAATGGCGGTGTAAGAGTGTCCACCACACCATGTCGTCCCGTGGGTGTCGTACGCGAGGTACGTACGTAGAGGTACTAAAACAATGGAAGGGCAGCAGCATCCCCCAAATCAAAATAATAAATTACTACGGTCAGCAAGCGTGGCAAATATGGCAAAATTCTAACTATGGGATATAATCTATGGGAGAGACTTACATTCTATGTTTATTTTGCGGGCGTAATGGATGGATGTATAGAAGATAACCTACCAGGAGCACATGAGTGATGATTCTCTTAGTGGCTGAAATTTTATGGTGAAACTTTATTGGGGCATACTGTGGGGGAACCTATTGTTGCGCGCCATAATTAATGCCTGGTACATGGCGGGTCATCATAAGCGCCATCTATTATCGAGTAGCGGAAATAGAATATTTCTAGAAAATTCCAAACTTACTAGAAATCTATGGGAGAAGCCTATGTTCAGCAGTGGAATTCAAAGGCTGTAATGGATGTTTGGAAAAATAATTTTACGGATTTTACGGTCACAGTGGTATTATCCCCCCCCCCAACTCCCGAAGTAATGACCTTAAATATGATTTATGTTTGTACTAGTTACGTGAGAAACAATAAATGTTATTATAATAAATCCCCGTGTGGTGGCGGGTAAGAACCCCCACTACACCATATCTTCCAGAGGGTGTCGTAAGAGGCGACAGAGGGAAACAGAAGATGGCAGCAGCGTCTTTTTACCAACCCGCTCGCCAAGCGTGGCAACTATTGCAATATACCCCCCGTGAACAACGACACAAATGTCTCCCAGCGGCCCCGCGGTCCAGCTAGGGCTGCTGGCAACGGTGAGGCAAGGGTGCTAAGGATCTCCGGTGGAGGTCTCTCGGCTACTACCAAAGACGACTCCACCTGGCAAGGTATAACGCATGCACCCTGAAGACTGACGAGAAGATCCTGAAGCTGGAAGAAGAAATAGACAAGTTGCTCTGGGATATTATAGGATTATCTGAGGGCCGAAGATAGAGAGAGAGAGAGAGAGAGAGAGAGGACACGGTGATCCTCGAATCCGGCAACTTGTTCTATCACCGGGAGGGCGACCATCTGTCCCAAGGAGGTGTCGGATTTATAGTCCACAAGTCTCTCGTTAACAACGTTGTAAAGAGTGGTAGTGTGTCGACGTGGGTTGTGTACCTTATACTCAGAATCACCAAACGGTATCCACTGAAGGTCATACAGGTTTACGCACCAACCTCGGCACATCCCGATAAGGAGGTGGAGGAAATGTATGAGGATATCTCTAGAGCTATGCATTCCTATAAAAACCACTATACGGTGTTAATGGGAGATTTCAACGCAAAACTAGGCACAAGAGAGAAAAGTGAGCTGAAAGTAGGGAAATTCGGAATAGGGCAACGGGACCCAAGGGGCCAGCAGCTGCCCGACTTTATGGAGATAAAGGGACTCTTTATAATAAATTCTTTCTTCCAAAAGCGGCCCCACCGAAAGTGAAGCTGATCGAGCTCCGACGGTTTGTGATTGACTTCATTATGACGACGAACGACAACTTTTCAGCGATGTCTCAGTGATCGCAACGGTGAAAACTGGCAGGGATCACCGAATGGTGAGAGACACATTGAACCGACACGAAAACACTGAACGAGACTTTGGAGAGGTCGCGTCTAATGAAGTCAGCGCTCCGTCCCTCTCGTGCTCTATTCCAGAGTCCCGAAACTTTCAGCTCGAGTTACAAAATCGGTTTCAGTGCTTAGAAAACTGCAATTAAGTGGACGATATAAATGATAAGCTTGTGGATACTATTCATGCGGTCGAAGCTAAGTTCTATAAGACCCGTCGCAGAAGAACACTAAAACTCTTGGATCACACTCTTAATCTCATGGCCGTTAGGAGGGAGATGAAGCTGTAGTCTTCAACAGATTTGACAGCAAACAGGCAACTGAACAGACAGATCTCCAAATGCATATGGCGGGACGTACGCAACTTCAATACATCTCGTATTGGAGAAGCGATTCAGCGAAAACAGGGCTTCAAAGTCTTTGCCAGAGATCTGTTTACCAGAAAGAGCCAACTATCAACGCTGAAGACCAAATGTTTCCGGCAAAAGCATCGTTTCCGGGACACCAGAGATTCTGAGAGATTGAGAGGTTCTATGGGCAGTTGTATACGTCATCGTTGGAGCCACACGCAAGTGTGAGTAACGATGCAAAAGCAAATCTTATCCGACACTATTCTGATATCAGTATGAGCGAGATTAGAATGGCTCTCAAGCACCATAAAAACGGCAGGGCCTCATGTGAGGATGGAATTACAGCGGAGCTTCTGAAAGCGGGTGGAAAACCGATACTTAATGTCTTTCAGAAGCTCTTTAATTCCGTCCTCCATGGTGGCACTACTCCAGAGGCATGGAGCAGAAGTGCGGTGGTCTTGTTCTTCAAGAATAGCGACAACGCTGTCTTTAAGAACTAAGGACGGATTTCCCTACTGAGCCGCGTCTACGTGCTGTTTCCGAGTCGTTACGAATCGTCTCGCACGCAGACTAGACGACATCCAGCCTCCGGTTTCCGAAAAGGCTTTAGGACTATTGACCACATACAAACTCTTCAGCAAATTGTACACAAGTCCTAAGAATAAAATCTGCCACTTTGTTTTGCGTATGTGGACTATGAGAAAGTCTTTGATTCCATCAAAATTTGGGCGATGCTGTAGTCCCTTCAGTGGTGTCTAGTTGACTGTCGGTGTATCGAAGTGCTGAAGTGTTTGTACAGTGGGGCTACGATTATTTTCCGAGTACAACCAGAGTACGAAACCTATCCAACTGCAGAGAGTTGTAAGACATGGTGACGCCATATCCCCGGAACTATTCACCACAGCATTGGAAGCCGTTTTCAAGCTACAGGACTGAAAGGGATTCGGTATTAACGTCAATGGCCAGTACATCACTCACCTTCGATTTGCCGTCGATATCGTCCTGATGGCAGAATCGTTGGAGGGCTTAAGCACTATGCTCAATGACCTCAATAGTGTCTTCCAACGGATAGGTCTTCAGATGAACATGGACAAAACAAAAGTCATGAGTAATGTCTATGTCACACCTATGCCGCTGGTTGTTGGGAGCACTAAGCTCGAAGTTGTTGAAGAGAATGTTTACCTGTATCCAGCACATACTTTTTTGCAGGACATATTTTTTGTATCCAGCCCCTTTCCTTATAACGGCTACACTTGTCTGTACCATATCCTTCACTTGAAGATGCTAATATTATTCGCATTCAACGCTTTCAGAGAATTGAAAAGCTTAGACAGCATTTTTGGAGGCGATATTCACACGAATGCATATTCCAACTACAGTATAACACTAAATGGCACGTTTCATCTGGCCAACTGAATATGGGTGACCTGGTTTTGGTCAGGGACCAAAATGCACCGCCTCTCTTATGGCTCTTGGAACGAATCACTATACTAACAAAGGGTAATGACGGAATATCCAGAGTTGCTGAAATACGAACAAAGAAGGACCTTATAGTTCGCTTAATTAGTCTTGAAGACTACGCTTCAACCCGGGGGAGTATGTTCGCGACGTCTTGTCATGAACATAGGAAGACCTCGCACCGTGCCTGCGCCTGCGTATTCGAGACGTCTTATGCCTTGAACGTCCTTTTGACCGCTGGCGAGATCCGTGTGAGCTCCCGGGGCGATACGCAATATTGAACACCTTAAAACGAACGCTTCTCGTACTTTTTATAATCTTTTTGTATCGACATCTTAATTTCTACATATTATATTAATTGGAATGGAATAGACCTATAAGTACTACTCGTGTATCAACCAACAATAATCACCAAATACAATATGGGATTGTACTTCTATCAGCCTTTGCTAACCTGATGTAGTTGGTATTGATCATCAGAAATGGCATTATTGGGTTGCTCTTCATTAGGCTCCTCTGTAGATTTAGATTCTTCAAAACATGCCAAAAAATAGTTCACGAATTTCTGGAACGACATTCCCCTTTTCATTGTCTAAGCGAAATCTTTTGGACGCCATTTCTTACAGAAAATGAGGTTATTCCCCGTAAAATATGTTACGTACAACAAAAGGGTTGACATGATAATTGTCATAATCCTAGATTTTTTAGATTACAGTAACATATAAATGACAGGTAAGTTCAAGAGACTACAAGTGTAATATTACTATTTTATGACAAATAAATTATTTTGTATATTCCTTCTTTTATCTCGATTAATAATAACGAGTATTCGACTATTCGCCATGAAGAATGGCGAGTAATCGATATTC